CAATAATATTTATTGTTATTTTTAAAGTTATTTATGAACCTTAAAATTTAAAAAAATATTATATTGTTATTTCAAGTTTAAATAAAATAATTAATAATTACAATTATTTTTAAAAAAAATTATATGGAAAAAATTTATTGACATATTTAGATATTAGATATTCTATGTTTTTAAATGTAAATAATAATAATAAATAAATTTCAAGGCTAATAAGAGTTAGCGCGGAAAGAGTTGCGCATAGTTATTGATAAGTAAAAATTATTTCTTCATGTTGATATTTTCTTTATTTCAAAATCTTGAACTTTCGATTCGCTTTGTAGTCATCTTCAGTAATATAATAATTTGATACCGTTCAACTCGGTCAAAAATGTTAAGCAGTCTGTCCTGAATGAGTCAGATTTCCAAAACTGTAATGGATTCTTGAACGGAGCACTCAATATAATTCAGAAGCTTTGGAAAAATTTTTGAATTTTTTTATACGATAATTCACTTTAATTTACTAATGATACATGTCACGGGCATTTATAACGAAGACAATTTCAATACATCCGTGAGATTCCGCGTATCAAATATAAAGTCTTATTATTTGACATGTAAAACCTCACGGACGTATTGTCTTCGTTATACATATCCGCAACACGTGTCATTAATAAATTAAAGTGAATTATCGAATTATATTATTATAAGTAAATTATAATTATATTAAAGAAATCCAAAAATTTGTTCAAGGCTTCTGAATTATATTGAGTGTTCCGTTCGAGAATCCACTACAGTTTTGGAAATCTGAGAGTGACTCATTCAGAACGGACCGCTTAATGTTTTTAATCGAGTTGAATGGTATCAAATATAACGGTATTGTTATATTGTTGAGGATGACTACGAAAGCGAGTAGAAACATTCAAGATTTTGAAATAAAGAAAACATCAATATTATGAAGTAATTTTTACTTATTAATGACTGTGCGCAACTCTTTCCGCCCTGATTCTCATTAGCCTCGAAATTTATTTATTATTATTATTTTAAATATTGAGAGTCCGATTTATTTATTATATTATTAAATGTAAATTTAAAAATTTATTTTTTGTGTACAAGTTGCACATATTGTTACATTGAATTAGAAGATGAAAAAGTACTTTTAATGATAAGTGTAATGAAATTGATTCTTAACATGCAACGTTTAAAGTATTCGTTTCGTTACTCATTGCAAGTACTAAAAATTTATAGTTCATAATATATTACATATACCATAGATTTTTATTTGCAGTAAATAACGAAACGTAGTCTTAGTAATTTCGCGACATTATGAATTTAGAACTCCACTTCCCATCTACTCCGGAAATCTCTTTCAGTAAATTAATTTCCAAATGTGAGCACAAATGTAATCCGCGTTTAATCCATTTTGCGTTCATGAGCTAAAATATTTCGAGCGCCATTTCAAAACGTGATATCATGTGGATAAATTTTTTTAGGAGTTATGTTATTAGATTATAATTTAAAAATTAATTTTTGTGATATCTTTAAAAAATCATTTATTTATGTGTAATACAAAGATAGCAAAAAGCAATAAAATTACGTACATTGATAAAGTAATAAATATATCTTCCATAATAAGAATAGAAAGCAATTTTAATTTTTTTTATACACTATAAATCTTGTTTATATCTAATGACTTTAAATTATCTATAAACAATACTATTTCAATGCTCAATTAATAAAAATCAATAAAATTAAATTCTTTCTAAAATTTGCTGTCCTGTATCTCATTCAGTATATACCTTAATACACAAGTTTAACATAAATTCACGTATCCCCCAATGTAGTATTTCTCAAGGTTAATAGCAAATTATTACAGTTATACGTATAATGAGCAAATTCAATCTTATTGAAAAGTACAATATATTTTTATTTAGAGCATAGCAACACATTTTCTATCGGATATCAAAGAGTCGATCTCGGATGATATTTTGCAGTCTATCGTAAAAATATGCAAGTATATACACTACAGTGTGATCGACGCTAATGATCGCTTCTTAAAAGTAAATACGCAGTATTAACATTTTACTAGCGTACGAAATTACAATTGTTGTAACAAATAATTCATCTTAGGAACTAGACCGTCATAATTATGTTTCTCCAGCATCACATTTGGAACTGCTATCGAATTATGGTAATCTTTTAAAAAAGAAGAAAGATGAATTAAATTCTTCAATGACATATTTATCCACTGGTGAGTAAGAATGAAATTAATTAATTAATGTAAAATAAATTAATATAAAATATATTTATTTATTATATTAATAAATGTGAAATGAATACTTAGATAATATGTATTTTAAAATATTTTCTAATATTTATAAGCTAGATTAAGGAAAATATTATATAACATATAGGGTTAAAAAAAAGATTTAGAAAATATTAGATTGCTTTTATCATAAATTCTTACACGATATGATTCTAATTAAAATTATCAAGTTGAGTTGTTAAAATAAAAATCCTTATTTTATGTAATATATATTTCTTATTTTATCATCTTAATATAACATCTTAATGTAACAAATTTCATAGGTCAAAGGTAAATGACCGCTGTTTTCCAGTCTATAAATTTAACGTCGACTGTCTGACAGTGGCTCGTAATTCGTAGTAAATTCGGAATATCGATTTGCTCTGTGTGTCGGTCGTGAATGTTATTCACGTGTTAAAAGGCAGGAAATGAAATATCTCAATTCTTAATACCGTACTTATTACGTATAATTCTTAATACATTTATTAACATTTTCAATGTACAGTAATTCTGCAAGTGTAATATATCCAAAAACTATTCTATCCTAATCTATGTTAAATATATTCTTTATAGTAATTCGATTTTGTCTTAATATAAATATTAATATTTATATTTAATAT